TTTGTAGGCTTTACGGTTCTGGAGATTTTGTGATGATGCATGAGGGGTATTTTACTATATATATATATTTTAAGATTTTATTTTATTATTTTGTTTTACTTTACTGTTTACTGTATTATGTTTATGGTATGTTATGCTGCGTTGTGTTGTGTTGTTATTCTTACTTGTTCAGGGGTGTTTTTGTGGCCAACTTTTTGGCCAACTTCTTTTAGGACTTGGATGCCCATAAAAGATAAAACAGGTGGAGCCTTGATAAATAGCATCCTCTCAGCCCCCATCTTGGAACATAGAATCGAGAAGGAAGGGACCTTGGAAGTCTTCTAGTCCAGTGATCCCCAACCTTTTTGACGCCGCGGCCCGGTACCGGCATCAGCTGGGCGTCGCGGCCCAGTACCGGCATCAACTGGGCGCCGCCATCTTTTTTTGACGAAAAAGATGGCGGCGCCAGTGCTTCCGGTGAGCTTTTCCGGATAGAAATGGCTTTCTACCCGGAAAAGCTCACCGGAAGCACTTTTTTACCAAAAAAAGATGGCGGCGCCCAGCAACCAGCGGCCCGGTAAGACTTGTTCCGCGGACCGGGACCGGTCCGCGGACCGGTGGTTGGGGACCCCTGTTCTAGTCCAACCCTCTTTCCAAGGCAGGAGTCCCATAGCACATATCGGAGTTTGTAGCGATCCAGCCAGCACACAAACAAATAATTCAGCAGGATTCATTATATAGATAGAAGAAAGTTCTTTATATGCAATAATATAAAACATGATGCATGTAGACAATACCCATGCAGCTCTTGCAATGTGGTAGAGAGAAGACAAAGTAGCAAGTACAAGAAGAAGCACTAGAACTCTCATGCAAAGACAAAGTGAACTCTTTTATACACAGAACAGTTAAGCTAAGCCATGCCCAGGTGCCAAACTGTCTGGCATGGCTCACACAACAAATCCTGTCTCTAATGCAAAAAAGCCAATGCAATCCTAAGTTGCATTAACACAGGGATACAATCAAGATCAAGGGAGGTACTACTACCACTCTATAAAGCCTTAGTAAGGCCACACCTAGAGTACTGCATACAGTTTTGGTCACCACACTATAAAAAAGATGTTGAGATTCTAGAAAAAGTGCAGAGAAGAGTAACTAAGACGATTAAAGGCCTGGAGACTAAAACATATGAAGAACGGTTTCAGGAACCGGGCCTGGCTAGTCTAGGGAAGAGAAGGACCAGGGGAGACAGGAGAGCAGCCTTCCAGTATTTGAGGGGCTGCCCCAGAGAGGAGGAAGGGGTCAAGCTATTCTCCAAGGTACACAAAGGCCAGACAAGGAATAATGGATGGAAATTGAAACAAGGAGAGATTCAACCTGAAAATAGGGAGAAACTATCTGACAGTGAGAACAATCAACCAATGGAACAAAAATTGCCTTCAGAAATTGTGGGAGCTTCATCCCTGGAGGCTTTCAAGAAGAGACTGGACTGCCATCTGTCAGAAATGGTGTAGGGTCTCCTGCTTGGGCGGGGGGTTGGACTAGATGACCTACAAGTCCTTTCCAACTCTGATTATCTGTTATCAGTGTATTTCTGCAAACCTCCAACAAAAGATCACCCACAACATCTTGACTTTCTTGGCCAAAGTTTGGGGACATCCTTTTTTATTTTTTATTTTACAACAATTTTTTAATTTTTTTCTTGTTTCAACAAACATATCGTTATGTGAACAGTGTGGTGCTGGAGTGTCTTACATATTAAAACAAATAAGACAATATTCTTCATATTTAATAGAGTTGACAATCTTTTAAAATTTGATATTAATATGCATATTTGTTAAATTATCATCCTTGATTATTCAGTAATTCAGTATGTTATTTTTGTGTCAATCTCTATTTTCGTAATGTCACTCCTTTTACTACAAATAATATATTTGATAATCATATTTGCAGCATTTAATAGACTTATATCATTCTAATAACAATCTACAAACTTATATTGAGTTGTAATTTTCCATTATTTATCCCCATTTTAATTTCTAATTATGCCCTTGTTGTATTTTAAAAAGTATCCTCTTCCTAATTACATTTTAATATAAATAAAATAGCATTCATCCTATTTACGTTTCACAAGTTATGTAATTCTAATAATAGTACAGTTATTTTTATGAAGTTATAATCTTTCATTATTATCTTATTCAATATTTCAATATATTATTTTTATGTCAGTCAAGTTCCACATTATCATCCCTTTTCCTACAGTCAAATCTTAATAATCATATTTATTACGTTTAACAATAATATATCTTAACTGATAACACACATATTTATGTTAGATCCTAATCTTTTTTTAACCATCATCTCTCACTCGCATTGAAGCTTAGGGACATCCTTTTTTAAAAAAATATTTTATTGAACAAAACAATTAAAAACATTGAACATAGTGAAGTTGGCTTGACATAACTTTTGGTCAGTATCACAGAGATATATATTTTCCTATATACAATTATTCAAATAAATACATATCTACATTTGTTCGCTCATATATTCCATTTTCCAACGTCATTGGTCCTATTTTCATCTCAACAACGCCTTTCCCAACTTAAGACCTTCCTCTCTGCTCCCACCAGTGATAGAATCGATTCCAGATTGTGTAATATATGCCGACTTATCTTTATTTCTCATCTCTAAAGTTAGCTTGTCCATTTCAGCCACATGTCATGATTTTGTTTATTACTTCGTCTTCACTTGGCATGCCTGTCTCTTTCCAGTTCTGGGCAAAGGCTGTCCTTGCCGCAGTAATAATAAGTATAATCAATTATACAATCCAATTTTTTGGACATGATTCCTAATAGAAAGCATTCTGGCACACGATCTAATTTAAAACCCAACATTTCCTCCAACAACTCCCCCGTCCTAAGCCAAAACTCTTGCACTTTTTTGCAGTTCCACCAGGCATGGTAACAAGTTCCCTGTTCCACTGAGCATTTCCAACCATTTGGGGACTGGCTTTTATACATCTTAGCCAATCTGGCTGGTGGATGGCTCAAGGATGGCTTGGGGGACATCCTTGGTGGGGCAAGATAAGCGTGCCAACATCTCCTGCAGCGCCAACAGAGGTGGCACCGCCCGCCTCCCTCCCGCAGTCTGTGGTGGAGGAAGTGCCTCCGTTTCTGGCAACGTTTTTGGGCTTCCTGGCCAGGAAGGGATTCTTGGGTGAGATTAGGCGGGTCCTCCAGGTACATGGCAGGTGACTAAGAACAAAAGGCATCTTGTTGTGGCTAATTGCTTACGAATTGCTTACGAATTGCCAAATATTTGTCGAGTTCGGTCCTGCCCCTTCTGGAGACTGCATGAAACCCTCTCTGTATCCGAGCGTGGAAACGCAGGAACAGCTGTCATGCTGGGCATTAAACAAAGGGCGTTAAAATGAACTGTTGTGTATTTTAGGTGACAGAGCGGAACCAGCTTAGCTGCCCTGGCCCTGAGCCCGGTTTAGAAAAGCAGAGAATTAGGGGGGAAAGTTGGCTTGATCGATACATAGACAGATATAAGTCCTACTTACAAAGTTGAGGCAAGCAGAATAACAGAGCTGAAAGGGACCTTTGAGATCTTCTAATCCAGCCCCCTGGTCAAGCAAGAAACCCTATACCTGTGGTGGCTCACCTTTTCTGGCTCCCATGCTGAAAATGGCACGCACGCAATTTGCGCGCGTGCGTGCCATGACCAAGAAGGCAATGCGCACTGCCCCCCCCCCATGCCCCCTGGGCATGCGTGCATGACACACACACCCGTGTATGTGCTGTGTGTTTCTGTGCATGCATGCATGATCCCCCCCGCGCCATGCATCCCTCCGCATATGCGTGCGATTTCCCCTGCGTGCGCTGTGCTTCTCTGCGCACGCCCCCCCCCCCCTCCCTGTGCATGCATGCCAGATCCTCAACAATCAGCTGTAGGGTGGGCAGCGCATGTGCATGCATAGCGGGGCTCTTGCAGGTGACCTCTCGCACGCCGGCAGAAGTGGCTTTGCGTGCCACTTCCAGCATGCATGCCATAGGTTCGCCATCGTGTCCCTACACCGTTATGGAAAAAGGGCCCATGATGGAGCATCTACAGCTTCTGAAGGCAACTTCTGTTCCATTGGTTCATTGTCTTCACGGTTGCAAGATCCCAAAGTCTCAGCTAAAACAACAACAGGAGACCCTGTGAACAAATCCGAGATTTATTTGCCTTTGTGCCAAAGATGGCACTCATTCCTCTTCTGGATAGGATTGCACCAAGGCAATTAAACAGACGGTTTTACATATTTTTATACACATCCAAACCCACCACCTCCCATTTTCTCTGCTGCCCCATTGGCTAAAATTATTGAAATTAATATTGGATGATCCTGGGTTCACAATCGAGCCATAGATTTAGATGCTTTAACAATTAACCATTTCCTTGTCATTTGTTCAGCAGTTGCTACATCCTCCTCTGTTTACACTAACTCGTTTCTCTTCTGGGTCAGCATGACGACTATGCTCAAGTGGACTTCAGCTTATGCTTCTGCTGAGTGGATTTCATCTCATCAGCGCTTCTGTCTGTGTTAATGTGTCACTGTGGGGTTTTAAGGTTATACAGAAGAGAAACATATAGAAGAGAAATATATTGATCCTTTTACATTTTTCTTTTTCAGGAATAATTATTCTTTTTTTATTTCTCACATTATCAGGAAGTTTCTCCTTAGTTCTAAGTTGCTTCTCTTCTCGATTAGTTTCCATTCATTGCTTCTACTCCTGCCCTCTGGTGCTTTGGAGAATAGCTTGACTCCCTCTTCTTTGGGGCAGCCCCACAAATAAATTTAATAAATAAATACTAATACATGTTCCTTCTTGTTCTCTGGCTATTTAGAGTTCAACCACAAGGTAAGGACTCCATTGATGCATTCATGGCTACCTGAGGACCAAGAAACCACCAGACGTTTCTGTTGAAGGCCACCAGCTCCATCTCACTTGTCTCATCTTCTTTTCTCCCCGAAATAGTTTGAAGAAGACATTTTGGACATCTGCTTGCAGTTGTTGGACAACAACCCCAAGTTCCTCCTCAACCAAGACAAGGATTGTTCTCGACGCAACAGTCCCGTCTACATCAGCAGGGTGGTGAGCGCCATGGTAAGCATGTATAGACCTTGGACCTGCCCTAGAGGAGAAAGAACAGAATGGATTCCTGGGCCAGGTTGGACTGGAATTCTCTTGACAGAGGAGATCAAATTCAGAAAGATCCCCCACCTTTCCTGATCCTGTTCAATTCCTCCTGCACTGAAATCAACAAGGTTTAAAGTTTAACCAAGGTCTAACAAGATGGACCTACAAAAACCATTTTGTAAACTTGTTTTGTGGCAAATTTGGGTTGAGCGGTCCCTGGTGCTCTCTAAACTTGGTGTTTTTCTTGCAGACATTTCATGACCCAACTAGGGAACATCATCAGTGCTAGAAGGGAGGGGGGTTGTGGAGAGGAGGAGGAGGAGGACTTGTTGGGTCCTTGATGCTCTCTGAGATTGGTTGCTTTCTTGCAGACATTTCATTACGAAACTAGGTAACATCATCAGTGCTAGAAGGGAGAGGGTTTTTGTGGAGAGGAGGAGGAGGAGGAGGAGGAGGAGGAGGAGGAGGAGGAGGAGGAGGAGGAGGAGGAGGAGGAGGAAGTGGTAGAGGGGGACAGTGAGGTTCTTGATGCTGCCAGTGCTTGGTTGTTTTCTTGCAGACCTTTCATTAACAAACTAGGTGACATCATCAGTGCTAGAAGAGAGGGAGGTTTGCTCTCAATTTACCCCACTCCCTACTAGAACTGATGTCGTTACCTAGTTTGGTAACGACAGGTCAACAAGAAAACATCTAATCTCAGAGAACACCGAGGACCCCTCAGTTCAACCCTGAGTTACAAATATTCTGCTTTCTCTGTCGAAACTGTTGTCGTTTCATACCGAGCCGTGGCTTCCTTGGCTACAGGTCAACTGCAACGATGACAAAGGCATTCTCTTCGGACGCTGGGACAACCGCTATGGTGACGGGGTCAGCCCCATGACCTGGAGTGGCAGCGTGGACATCCTTCGCAGGTGGCAGAAGGACGGATGCCAACCGGTTCGGTACGGGCAATGCTGGGTCTTCGCTGCAGTGGCCTGCACAGGTGAGGATCCATACCGGTCGAGATGCTGCCCAGGGGGTCACCATCACGGTGGTGCAACTGGTTGGAGGGGAGAAGTTCAAGAGCCGCAGAGGCGCAGTGGTTTGAGTGCAGTACTGCAGGCTACTTCTGCTGATCACCGACTGCCAGCAGTTTGGCAGTTCAAATCTCACCAGGCTCATGGTTGACTCAGCTTTCTGTCCTTCCAAGGTGGGTAAAATGAGGACCCAGATTGTTGTCCGTCCTTCTTCCTTCCTTCCTTCCTTCCTTCCTTCCTTCCTTCCTTCCTTCTTTCCTTCCTTCCTTCCTTCCTTCCTTCCTT